CTTGTTATCTCAGATTCTCCAGCATCTGCAGTTCCTACTATCTCTGAAATAGTTTCCCTTACCATGTTTAATATTACAGCAAATGTGGTAGAAGGGAGAAGTTAACTGTTTCGACATATAAAAGCAAAGATACAAGCCCACCGACTCCCATAGCTACCCAGAATACACCTCCTCTCACCCACCTTCCTACAAGAATGCCATCCCCTATTCCCAATTCCTTCACCTCCGCCGCATCTGCTCCCGAGATGAGGCATTCCACTCCCGGACATCCCAGATGTCCTCGTTTTTCAAGGACCACAACTCCCCCTCCACAGTGGTCGAAAACGCCTTCAATCACATCTCTCGCATTTCCAGCAACTCATCCCTCACACCCCCTCCCTGCAATAACAACCAAAACAGAATCCCCCTCGTCCTCACGTACCACCCCACCAACCTCCGGATTCAACGCATCATTCTCCGCCACTTCCCCCATCTGCAATCCGACCCCACCACCAAAGACATTTTTCCCTCCCCACCCTTATCTGCCTTCCGGAGGGACCAATCTCTCCGCGACTCCCTCGTCAGCTAGCCCCACAATCCCTGCCACTTTTCCCTGCAACTGCAGGAAGTGCTATACCTGCCCCTACACCACACCCTCACCTCCATCCCAGGCCCCAAGAAAACCTTCCACATTAAACAGATGTTCACCTGCACATCCACTAATGTGGTATATTGTATCCGCTGTTCCCAACATGGCCTCCTCTAGATTGGGGAAACCAAGCAGAAGCTTGGAGACCGCTTTGTGGAACACCTACGCTTGGTTCGTGACAAACGATAACACCTCCCAGTCGCGAATGACTTCAACTCCCCCTCCCACTCCTTGGACGACATATCCATCCTGGGCCTCCTCCAGTGCCACAATGATGCCACCCGAAGGCTGGAGGAACAGCACCTCATATTCCACCTGGGAACCCTGCAGCCCAATGGTCTCAATGTGGACTTTACAAGCTTCAAAATCTCCCTACACCTGACCTCATCCCAAGTCCAGCCCATTTCATCCCTGCCTCCTTGACCTGTCCATCTTCCCTCCCACCTACCCACCCCTTCCTCCTCACTGACCAACCCCCATCCCAACTCCCTACCTATACTCACCTGTACTGGCTTCATCTCCGCCTCCTTGACCTGCCTGTCTTCTCTCCACCTATCTGCTCCTCTGTCATCTTCTCTCTCTATTATTTCAGAGCCTCCTTCCCCTCCCCCATTTCTGAAGAAGGCTCCCGACCCGAAACGTCAGCTTTCCTGCTCCTCTGATGTTGCCTGACCTGCTGTGTTCATCCAGCTCCACACCTTGTTATCTCATACTCCAACATCAGCAGTTCCTACTATATCTACAAATCTTTAAACATTGGTATCAAGGAAAAGGCCCATATCATGATAAGAGACTTGTTTCTTAGACATCACATACCACAGATGATAATTGACCTATGCACTTAAACCATAACAAACAAATCTTGTAGAACAGAAAAGTTATGTATAAACTTAATATTATCATTGGGTAGAAATCTAAAAATGGTCCACATTTTCCGATGTTAATTTCTGCAGCTTATATGGGAGTTGTTCATAGGGGACCTTGTGGAACCCCCATCATAACAGTCTCCAATATAATTGCCTAGGAAATTAAAGATTCAGCTGGATATTCCCCTACAACTGGAGCGTAATGACAGTCTGCTGCTAACCCAACACCCAGCCCCCTCACCGGACCTGATATCTCTCACCCAGTCTGACCTGACCAAAACACTCTGTCACTTGCTTGGCCCTCTTCCTACTTTGTACCCTGGCACCTAGCAGCCTACCTTCCTGAAACCCTAACCTCTCATGTACACTTTCATGGGAGCTATCAAAGTGTCTGTCTGTGATGCCGAACATTTAAATCGTAGAATATGGGGACAGATGACTGGGAGAAAGGGGACATGGTTTGTCTTCTCCTGACTATCCCGCATTGTGAGAGACCTGTCAGATTCAAAATATGTTCCAAATTTCTGATGGTCCCTCAATAGGAATCACCTCGCAGAAATGTGGAGCTCCTTATTAATATAAAAAAAAAGAGCGAGTGGCAATCTGAGTGTGATTGTCTCTCTTTGGAAAATCCAGATGCTGTGTATGAAAGAACAGGCACTCAGATAATTCATGGACCTGGCTGCATCTCAGGGCTGCTCCCTTGCTTTCTTACTGCTCGTTTGCCTGGATACTCATATCATCCCTACCTTGCCTTGCCTTGTTGTACCTTTTCATGCAGTCACACACGAGGTAGTTTGCCTTGCTGCTCAGCAGTCCTCAGTCTAGGGGGCGCACAGCTTGCTGTACAGCAGTGAGTTACATCAATCTCTCACCTGTACCATGTGCTAGCAGCTTACACTGTAAGCACA